GGGGGGGGGGGTGGCAGGTGGGAGATCAGGAGATAACATATTAATGTTTTAGGCATGTTAAGTTGAGATGCCTATTAAGACATCCAAGTGGGTATGTTGACTAGGTTATTGGGTATGCAATCTGGGATCCAGGTTAGAGATACATAATCAAGACTCCTTAAAGCTGAGAGACTAGATAGGATCACCAGGTCCAGTGGGCATAGACAGATAATAGAAGAGATTCCGTTTGCACCCTAAGGCATTCCGTAGCTAAGAGTTGATGTGTTAGACCGGTAAAGGAGACTGAGAAGGAACGGCCAGAGAGGCAGGTAAAACAAAATGAACATATGCTCTGGAATCTACATCCAAAAAGTGATGGAGGTATCAGCTTGTCAGAAGCTGTAGTTATATCAAGTAAGATTAGAACTGAGACTTGAACACTGGAGTTGGCAATGTGGATATAATTGATGAAAACTTGGCAAACGGGAACTTCTGCTTCCTGCCAAGATGGAACAGCAGGGACCAGGTTAACCCTTCTACTGGAGTATATGGAACAGTGGTTTTCAAGACACTGGAGATCAGACTATGAAGAGCAGTAATCTCTGAAGGTGGGAAAAGCATGAGGTGAGCCCAGCGATTGCCCCAGCGTAATGTCTTGAGAGATTCTCCAGGTCATGCACAGGGAGGGAGAATCCAGGTGGGATACAGGGACTCCTTGAGTTGAGGTTATAGAGATGAGAATCTGGGGAGATCAAGGCAGCTGGAGTTCACAAGGCACAGAGTACAGGAGAGGAGAAACCTTCGAGACTAGAGCATTCAACAGAGATTGGTACACCTGTGTGAAGACTCTACACAGAGCCTGGGATATAACCATCTGCTAGGATTGGAGACAATGAATGGTGCCTGGTGCTTACACAAGGCTGCTTCTGTCAGCAATAGGAAAGCTTTGTAATAGGAAACCTTGTAATTCACAGAACGTTGAGTAGATGACTCCAAAGAGTCTTGCCTCAGAGATAGGAAATAATTAGCCCTAGACTACATTGCTGCTGTAGTCTACCAAATTTTAATCTAACAAATGTGTTAGGTCCCACCCAACAAATCTTAAAAACAAGACCCAAAGGGATCTGTTCCAAAGTTTCAAAGTAACTGTCCCAGAACAAAGCTCCAGAATGTTTATAAGAATACAGGCATATCTAGCACCCAGATATCCAGTCGAAGTTTACCAGACAGGCAAAAGAGCAGGAAAATTGCAACCCATAATGAGAAGAAAAATTGACCCGGAACTGATATAGATAAAAGAATTGGCACACAAGGACATTAAAACAATTTTTATAACTGCATTCCGCATGTTGAGACATTTAGAAGGTACTTTTTTTTTTTAATTTATTGATTTTGAGAGAGCTATCGATTTGTTCTTCC